TCACATTTAAAAACCAGCATACCTTGTTTTATTGCACTTTAGCTTACTGAATTTTGCAGATGCTGCATTTTTGCAAATTGAAGATTTTGTGGCAACCCTGTGTCAAGCAAGTCTATCAGAGCCATTTTTTATTAGCATAATTTTTCCAACAGCATTTTGCTCACTTTGTATCTCTGTGTCAAATTTTGGTAATTCTTGCAATATTTCAAATTTTTTGTTATTATTTTATTTGTTATGGTAATCTTTGTTCAGTGCTTATGACTCACTGAAAGCTCAAACAATAGTTAGCATTTTTAGTGATAAAATATTTTTTTTTAAATTAAGGGTTTTTTTAGAGATAATTTTTTTAAAATATAATGCTATTGCACCTTTAACAGACTACGTTATAGTATAAACGTAACTTATATGCACTGGGACACTAAAAAAATTCATTTGACTCACGCTATTGTGGTGTTCTGGAAATGCTCCTGCAAGGTCCCCAAGGTATGCCTGTATGTCCTTTCTCTTCCATTTGCTTTGATGTTGGCTGAAGTGACAGTCAGGTTCTTTCATGTTATTATATAGGTACTGAACTGGGTGATGAATCTTTCCTATCCAATAAATATACTATTTATTATGGATGCTATGCTACCCTGCCATGATCCCACCTTCAGGGCTGAAGGGTTTATTCCCCAAGGGTTGGGATGATTGTGGACTGATAGCTTTTATCTATAAGCCTTCCCTAAGAGCTGTCTCTGTTGAATAGAGTGGCCTGGCATAAGACACCTCTCTTGGGGGCAGTGGAGGTATAGAGGTCTGGCCCCTCACTTTCACTTGGGATAATTCTGAAGGGATACCTTAGATTCAGAGCTCACCACTCGAGTCAACTAAGTGTGATCATTGCTTTTGTTGTTTGGACCTCTTACTTGTCTTTCCCATGGTGTTGTAGTCCTTGAGTACATGCAGAATTAGTCAGGAAGTGTGATACTTTCTGGTTGTGTTCGTCCTTGTGTATTCATTTATTTACAGGATTTTATTTCTTTATCTGTCAGAGAAAGAGAGAGAGAGCGAGCACAAGAAGGGGGAGTGGCAGGTAGAAGGAGAAGCAGGATCCCTGCTGAGCAAGGAGCCCGATGCAGGACTCCATCTCAGGACCCTGGGATCATGACCTGACCTGAAGGCAGATACTTAACCAACTGAGCCACCCAGGCATCCCTGTGTTTGTGGACTTATTTTACAGGATTCAATTTAACTTGCGAAGAAAATGAGGTGAAGTGGTTTATTTTCCCCTCTAAAGGTGCAGGGGGTGTAAGTCCTTATTGTAAGTACACCACAGTCCATCTTCTCCCTCCTGTTTTCTCCCCTTGCCCTGTGCAAATGGATCCCAAGAACACTTCCCAGGAAGCATCCTGCACACTCATCTTTTCAGGATTTACATCCCAGTGGAGCCCAACCTACCTCTTAGAGCTATATATAAGTGTGCTATGGGTCACATAATATCTGAGAACCTCTATGATGCCACCCTCTTCTGTTGGCAGTGCCTATAAAAATACCTCTTTCGAATGTATTCAGTTCTCTAGGTGATACGGTAACATGTGACTAGTGAGAATGTCCTAGTAGAAATGGGCTGCAACCTTGGAAAATTTGTTGGCCTAATTGGGAGCCAAGAGACTGTGTAGAAACCGTATATTTCTGCAGTAAATAGAAACATACTGCTACTTGATGACAAGAAGCATCTTTCTCTTCTTAGACCATGAAACCTTCCGGTGCTCTGGAATGCAGCTCTTTCATTTTCCCCTGCCCACCTTCCCTTCCACCTCCTGTTCTGAGATGTCAGGAACTCCAATCTCTCCCCATTGCCTTGCTTTTGGGGAAGAGTAGCCCCCTAGCTTCAGTGTTAAAAGGTATTTCTGGCCATGCGCAGCAGTGACCTGTTGTCTCAAGTGACAGTTCAACTTTTATCTCTTGATGCACGCCTAGGAATCAACCTAGTCATAATTGCAAAGGAACGAGATATTCCTGCTTTTTTCTCAGGGAACTGAAGTCATGCCAATATCATCTAGGCTCACTCACCATCAGGAAGGTATACGTGTTGAAAGAAAAGGCCAATGAATTTTGGTATTTGTTCCAGATGTGGAGGGACAGAGTGACTTAGTATAGTGACCCCGTTTACAGAGGTACCCAAAGCCATTTGGAATAGAGGTAAGTTTAGGTGCTCCATGATTGAAGAGCAGGGAGTTGTAAGGCCCATTCTGACATCAGGAGCAGATAACGCAATGTCCACGAATATTGAGGAAGCTCAGTATGTACGTGCTGAATGTAGTGTAGCTGCCGGGTATTGGGAATAAAACCATCAACAAGATAGACATGGTCCTTTCTGTTCTTGGGGAACTAGGAGTCTGGTGGAAATAAGATGGTAATGATACCTCTTCACAAAGAGGGTACATGAACCATCCAAAGCCCCTCCTTGGGTTAAGGAAGGTAGGATAATTTGGGAGTGCAGTTATTCTGCTCATAAAGTATCAGTGATGTTAATATTGTTTTGTTGTTTATACCTCTTAATTGTCTTTCCTCTGGCTTTGTCGTCTTTGAGTACATGCAGAATTAATCAGAAGAGTCATATTTTCTGGTTGCTTTTGTCTTTTTGATCTTATTTTACAGGATATGATTTAATTTTCAAAGAAAATGAAGTGAAGTGGTATATTTCCCTTCGAACGACAGAGGGGCAAAAAAGACACATGACCTACTAGCCAACATTTAATAAATTTAATAAATTAATAGGAAGTATCACAAAAACTTGGAATGGATAACATACAGGAACCACAAATAAGATAACACTTTGCAACCACTCACAAAAAGTACCATTTGACCAAGGAGAAGATTTACAGGAAATAATATAAGGCAGTCTGTTGCACGTGTCTTAAACAGATATACATATATAATAGTACATCAAAATGATTTGTTCGACAGTAAATTTAACACGTTTACATTTATCACATGGACTTTTTCTTTTTAAAACATTTACAAAAGTTTGTAGATTTCACATTGAACTGTAAGGTTTATATCCAAATGAGTATATTTGTTTCATACCAAACTGCACAGAACTTATGAATAGCACACGATTTGAGAATAATTACTGTGTTGGGTACTATTAAGTACTTGATGACATAAGAATTATTAACAAATGTGCTATAAGCTATTATCATTCAACTTATTGCTAGTGCTTTTCAAAATCTGTGGTTTATATCTTATTTCTTTGTAAAACATGTGCTATGAGCTTGCCCTGATAGTTAAGAAATCAGATGTTTCCAATTTTCTCTAATACTCACAATACTTCAGATCTGAATGCGTAGTCATCTCAAGGATTGCTGAAGGATTTCCTCCAGTCCTTTTTGTATCATCTACTCTGCCTTACGTTAATACAAATCGATGGATTCATGCAACATACATGGCATACATGCAGGACTCCATCCGTATGTGCAGAACTCATGCTCAATGCATGCTGTGTGTCTTCAGACATCTTCGTTTCAGTAAGAATTAGATCATCTCATTCAATTTCCTATAATTGTTTTAACATGCAATTCAACAGAGCTAACAGGCAGGTAGACTTTACTTTCATGGTGTATTGGGGCATGCTCAAGCAATTGACGGACATTTGGCAGTGTTGCTAATCAAACAGAGACTGTATGAGTTTCCTCAAATACAGCAGCTCTCCCACTGCCCCTGTGGCAGACTGTTGGATTTATCTATGCTGTGTGTTGAGAACATAGACCAGGGGTTCTCTGAAATTCAGATTCTGCCTTCACGGATTTCGAGATATTGAGAAGCACACACTAAGGTGTGTAAGTAACTGTCAGGCATAAGAGATAGCATCATGAATTCTTCAGAAATTGATCCACAGTTGTGTGAAATGGACACACATGGAAATAGTGGAAACACTTGGATACTTGGCACACAGCACAGACTTCATGGTCTGACTTTAGTGATGCTTGAAAACCTTTCGTGGTTAACAAACTAGTTAAATGGTACTGAATTCTTAGAGCAGCAGGCCCACGAATGAAACAATGGCCAATACTTATTGTGACACAACACTATTATTTTAACAAAGATTTTAAACTTCTGGTACATAATTGCAGTACAATGAAGAGCTTGCCACTTTCACAAATTAGCTGCAGCCTTTTCCCGCACTAGAGAGTTTGGAAGGATCTGAAAATGAGATAAATTTTGTTTAAAATCCAAATGGAAACTCTGTATTTCTGTTTTTTTTTCCCAGAGTTCAGTACAAGCTTGTTTTTACTTTTTTTTTTTTTTCACATTCTAAGGGCCTAATTCTGTAGTCCTTAATCAAGTAAAACTTCCAAGGTTTTGATCATCTATGCTTCCAGCGCAAGTTTTACTCAAAAATGGACTGCGAAATTGGGTCCTATAGATAGAGGTACCATAATTATGAAAATATTTTAATAAGGCTCAAAATGCTAATTTCACTTTGTGTGTAGCACACGAATTTCCAGGATCCTGAGATCAAAACCCAATTGATGTTGAATCCTGGATTGGGAAATAACTCTGGGATCTTGTTCCCCAGTTTAATCACAGAATTAGGTATTTACTAAGGACCAGAATGAAAACACTAATTCCAGTTTGCTTGTCGTGATAATCAGAATTTGAACATTGTCCTTAAGAAGTGAAAAGCTATTGGTGTATATATCTTGTATCATCCTTCCACTTCTGTAGTCCTGGTTAACCAGCTGCTATGTTAAAATACCACTATGGGGACGGACATTGCAGTAAAATACCAACACGACATCCGGACAATGTCAAATTTTGCCCCTATATGTGACAACGAGGCTACGTTCTACCTTTGACTCGCCAATGCATGTGATAAGGTATCACAAGGCAGAACCTATCTTACTGTGTTTATGTGTGTAGATGAGCAGAGCAAGAATTTAAAGTGTATATTTACTGTCAACCCGGAAAAAGTCCACCTAGTTTGTTAATTTTGGTGTGGTTGAAATAACCACGTGCATCATTCTGGTCTCCTGCAAATGCCACCTGAGATCAACATCAACATTTCCTTATGCCCAAAAGAAAAAGAGAGAGAGAAAGAGAGAGAGAACGAAAGAAAGAGGGAGAAGGAGGGAAGGCAATAGGAAGGGAGGGATAGCAGAAACATCAACATTTTATGCATTAAATAATCAAAATAAGTTATTCTCAATCTATTATAAACAGTAAATATAGAACCCTAAATCTCACGGTTGTGTGCATGATTGTAAAGTACAGTGTTGCAAAGCTATATACAAAACACTTTATCAGACAACGATATTTACATTAGTTATGACCGACAGAAGAATTCTAAGACCTTTCCCTACATTTGTAGCTTTGCCATAGGGAAAGACTGTGCTGCTTGCACCCTGCTCATTACACGCTGCTGATCCTTTCACTAACCACGCTGGAGGGGTTAACTGGTAGCTCCAAATTCTCCACTTGCATCTCTATACTGGGCTCATTGTCATTAGCTTTCTTAAGCACGGGTTCGTTGGTATGCCGGTAAATGTTAACGTTAAGCTCTCTCCCTGACAAAGCAGTAGCAGCCACTCTGGGCATCTGTCTCACCGGAGGTTTCTTTTCTGCCTTATAATTGCAGCGCAGATAGTTAGAGAAAGCCCTTCGGTAAATTTTGTTGAAAAGCGTGTACACCAGAGGGTTAATTCCTGAACAGACGTAGCCAATCCAAACAAACACATTCAGAAGCTTTTCCATGAGCTTTTGGTTACAGGCCTTCCCGCACAGAACCGACAGAATATTGGTAATGAAAAACGGGCACCACATAACCAGAAACACAAAGAAAACAATGCCGAGGACTTTGGACGCTTTCCGTTCGTTGTTGATGGCTTGCATGGTGCCCCTGGGGCGTCGCTCTTTCTTCTTCCTTCTGCCTGGGTTCGCATCCTGGTGAGGGTTGGCCGGGTTCTCTTCCTCCGCGGCGTTCCTCCTGCACCACTTCAGAAAGTTCCAGTTTATTCCAGGTGGTTCCTCGATGTGGCCGTGCAGTAACATCAGAGCTTGCCGGCGAAGAACGTGGATCGTCAGGCAGTACGTAATCACCATGATCGTCAACGGGATGAAGAACGCGACGAAGGACCCAATGAGAACGAAATTCGGGTCGTTCAGCACGCAGGTGGTGTTGTTGACGAACACTTTCTCTTCATCTCTCAGTCCTATCACTGGGATAGGAACTGACACACCTAAAGGGACGACAACGACAACAAAAGGTAGGATATAGTTACAGCACAGCTGAAGGACTGAACAGGTTTGTGCAGTGGCATACGTTCAACTGTATTTTACCGAAGAAAATTCAGAACTGGCATTTGTTGAAAGCTATTCATGGCATAAACTGATAGTCACAGGAAAGAGTTGCAGTGTGACCTCAGAGAATGACCATTTCTTTTAGGCTAGGAATACCTTCTCCCCCAAGTTCTGTAGAAGGCGAGGAATTCCCATCATTGCTCATGTTTAAGAGTGGATCGCGTGTGCTTTGTTTCATTTCCGGTTCCTGGAACTGTCCTGGCTCACACGGAGCGCTCAATAAATAATTGTTGAATGAATGAATACATTACAGCGAGACTCAATGGCATTAATAAATTCACTGGTTCTTTTTTTTTTTTTTTTTTTTTTTTTTTTTTGCCTATCGTCTTCCACATGCAATAAAAATGATGTGTGCACCACTTAGATGAGGAACCATGCCTTATAAGGGTTGGCTGGGCTGAGTTTGAGATGAGTTTTTAGCTGACAGAGTCCCTTTCCATGCCTTCCTTTCCTGAGGAAAGAGGTTAAGAGGAGGAAATTTATGTGTGAGTCCTCCGGAGCCAGAGTTGGGTTACTAGAGATGAAGAGGACAGCGGGGCCCTCAGCCGTGCTGCAGGGACTAGATCTGAGCACTGTACAGAAATGATCATCTCTAGGCAGAAACTGGCAGAACTCTCGTTTTAGCAAGAGTCTTTCCTGAGTCACTGGGCATAAGCAACCTCATTTTAAGGGCAAGAGACAGAGTAAAATAAAGAGCTGGGAGAGATACAGTATCCCCATTTGTGTGTGGAATTTCAAGCATTTTTGTCTTGTCTTGTCTTGTTTTTTTTAAGAATACCAAGAGGTCGTTCTTGGAGGCATGCACCTCCATTAATAAATAAGCTCACTGGTGGAAAATAGCGATGAGGAGGTGGGAGCAGAAGGGGATCTTGTGCCTCACTCTAAGTGAGAAACGTGGAAATTTTCAGAAATTGCTCTTTAGATCTTGAAGAGATCCCACATCCATCGGATAACTTACAAGTAAAATTCAAAAGTAAAGTTAATTTATTCTCCCTTGTGTCCCCAGGAAGTTGGAGCCTGGGCAAAGTCCGGTTATACTTTTAGGAATCTATCAGAGATTATTATTAGGAATCCTGGGTTGGCGGGTATTCACTATGAGCTGTGAGCAGAGACAGAAGTGTACACTCAGAGCTCAGAGATTGCTGCTGGCTTTAGGGAACACATGGAGAACTGTGACGAATCTGAAAGTGAAAATCCTTTTTTTTTAAATTTGAAGATTTTATTTGACAGAGAGCGAGAGTGAGAGAGAGAGAGAGAGAGAGAGAGAACAAGCAGAGGGAGCAACCAAAAGAGAGGGAGAAGCAGGCTCCCCACTAAGCAGGGAGCCTGATGAGGGGCTCCATCCCAGGACCCTGGGATCATGACCTGAGCCAAAGGCAGACGTTTAACCGACTGAGCCACCCAGCTGTCCCTACATTTCTTAAGTTTTAAAAAGTCAGTTAAGAAGGCTGCCAGCTTGTTCTAACATTAGAACCTTCATCCCCAAAGTCGTAAGTATAAGGGAGTCTTTAGAAGAGTGTGTATCAGGCTTGCCTGAAGGAAGTCAGTATTGACTTATCTTCAGTGAAATGTTTTAGTGAAGGGTTAGGCTGCAGGAAGTTTTCCAGAATTAAGGAAGTGAGTAGGGAATTAAGAAAGGAGGGAATGGCTTCTTCAAAACATAATTTACAAGAGAAAAAAATTAGAATGAGTATCTCCAAGTTAAGAGAGACTTAAAATACCTATTAAGCGATTACAATATGTGGCTCTTCTTATAATCTCAATGCCAACCAACTTTGAACAATTTTCATGACACAGCTGGAAATTCTGAATAATGACTGGCTTTTTGCTGATATTAAATAATTACCATAGATTAATTTTTAAGAAAGATGTTGATTTTGTGGTTATGTAGAAAAAATATGTTATATTTTATATATACATGATATATATGTATACGTGATACATATTTTATATATACATGATGAAATATTTATGAAGTATTATGGTGTCTGGAGTTTATTTCAAAATAATATGGGAAGGAGAAGTAGATAGAAGTAGGAATGAAACAAGACAGTACATAAACTGGTAAAACTTAGAGCTGGATGGTACATACATGGGTTTTTATTATGTAATTGTACCTACATTTGTCATCTTTGAAAGCCTCCATAACAAAAGTTTAATAATATTTTAAAAGAGAAAAAGAAGAAGAAAAGAGAAAAAGAAAAATATTTTAAAAGAGAAAAAGAAGACCTAGAGGTCCTTTCTGAAGCAGGCAATGAAATCACTATTAGATCTCAGATCATAAAGTTCTCCAGGACTTACTGTCCACTGCTGACCTTGGAAGTGATTACTTTAGAGCAACAGACTTGGAGTTATGCGTAGAAACACTCACCACTTCGATACAATTGTAGGAAAGAAGGCCATTTTTTGCCAAAGAGCTGGTAGGAAAACTCATACTTTCCTCAGAATCCTATAGCAAGACCAGAGAGGGGTGTGGGAACATTTGGGTATAGGAACATTCCCTTCCAAACTCCCCCCCTCTCCCAACCCCTAGCCATGTGGGAACTAAAGACTTGGTCTGGGGAAATTGCATTCTTTTTTGGAGGAATCCTGATAAGTACAGGCAAGCCTACACTCAGGAAACAAGTGCTAGAGTGGAGATTCTGTTCCCTACAGGAAATGCTGCACAATGTTCTAGAGCTACCTGAAGTTTCTGAAGGCCTTACACACCGACCAGAAGAGCAGAGCCCATCTTTGCAGTGGGATCGGCTTGTTTCTGTTAAAAGATTTACCCATTTTCCTAAGGGACTCTGGGGCCTGAAAGTAGGCCTGTGTCAAAGGATAACAAAGACTGACTCTGGATGTGCTGAAGATGTTATTAGATATGTGAGTTCAATTTTATCCATCACACCTATTTTATAGTTTTATGTACATTGAGTAAAGAATGATTCCAAAGCTGCCTTTTGCTGAGTCTGTCTTATGTTCCAGGCACTGAGCCATGTGTATCACTGACATTATAGATGTAAACTGTATTATCTCAGTTTGGTTAAAGACTATGTAATACAGATTTTAGTCAAGTAGCTTAACCCCTTTACCAAATTTATGCCATTATTAATTTTCTTTTTCTTTTCTTTCTTTCTTCCTTTTTCTTTCTTTCTTTCTTTTTTTTTTTTTTTTAAGAAACCATGAATGCAGTCAACAAAACAAGAAGAAACTCAAGATTTTTTGACACTATCTGGAAATTCTAAATAATAGCAACAAATGAAGCAGCATCAATAACGATATATATTGCATGGATTATCTTATTTAGTACTTTAGAAAATTAAAGGTATATGTCAGCGGTTCTCAAAGTGTAGTTCAAGGACCCTGGGGGGCTGCTGAGGCTCTTTTAGAGGGTTTGCTAGATTCCCTTTTTCCAACTATTTGTCTTTAAAACTGCATTTTCCTCATAAACTTTAACTGAAACAACAAATCACAAGTTGAATGCAGATACAGATATGAGAATTCAACTGCATTTCCATAAAACTAAACATTAAAGAGATTTTCAAAATTGTAAAATATGGTTTTCATAAAAATGTTCTCAACATTAAGTGGGTTCGTTTTACTTAAAATGAAATGATTCATAAATAGTTAAAACATTTCTCAGTTTTAATTTCAAATACAGCAAATATCAATAGGTATAATCCACATACACAGAAGTTTTTTGGGGTCTTCAGTCATTTTGAAAATTATGAAGGAGTCCTGATACCATTGCGTTTGAGAACTGCTCTTCTATGTTAATAGGCGAAGTTATTTCAACATTAGAACATTAAGTTCAGCAAATGAGTAAAGTCTTTATCAGTATTTTAAATTTGTCAACCAGTAGAAGAAATTCCAGTAATATTATAATGTCAGGTAAATAGAAAGCAACATCAATAATAGCAACATACTACATGCACTATCTTATTCATTCTTAAAAAAATTCTGAAAGTCACATGGTATTTGGTGAAGTTAACTTCAGAAAAATCAAGTAATTTTAATAGGTATATTTGGAACATTCTTTGATATTTTTAAAACCTTTGAGTTGCCCAAGGAGAAAATGCAAAAATGAACTACCATAGAAAATACCAGGTATAAATCATAATTGAAGTAATGATAACTACCTTTTACTGAGTGCTTCTTATTTGTCATACACTGAGTCAAGTATTTTATGATTATTATGTAGTTTCATAAATTATCTTACTCAATCCAGACAAAATATCAAAAGAAGGAATTATTAACTAGAATCACTTAAAGTTTCTGAAATTAACTTCATTGAATCTTTATCAGTCTTCCTTAGAATTTTAGAAGCAACAAAGATAAATTATAATTCATGTTCTGCTGAAAATATCAAGTACCACTTCAACCAATAAGCAGTCATTTTGCATGCATTATCTCATTTAGTTTTCAAATAACCCCGAAAAGTGATTATTATTTATTAAGATTACTTAAACTCAGAAACAAAAATACGTTCAATAAACATATAGGGTCTTAGCACTTTAGAAATGTTGAAATCACGAACAGTTATCGTTTAAGTCTTTATTGAAAATATCATGAGTTACTAGTACTACTACTACTACTATGACTACTATGATTTCGACTACTATTATGACTATGACCACTACTGCTACTGCTGCTACTCCTCTTCCTGTCATTCGTTGAGTACTCCCTGACTCTTCTACTTTATCTGCATCACATACTTTACATGCATTATCTCATTCCAGCCTTGTAAAAGCCATAAAATAGCCTGGTAAGGTTATTTACTTCAAATCAGGCAAGTAAATCCAGAAAATATATAAAGATGTTCACATTGTTTCTTAAAGCCTCGAATTCAGGCAACACAGATCAATTCTCTTCAAACTCTCCGATGATAATACCATAT